TACAGTGTCCAGCCTGCTACTGAGGATCCACAGTGTTCGGGACCAAGAGGGCCAAAGCTTTGACCATGGCTCAATAATACAAACATTCTTCTTCTTCTTCTTCTTCTTCTTCTTCTTCTTCTTCTTCTTCTTCTTCTTCTTCTTCTTCTTCTTCTTCTTTTTCTTTGTCTTTTTCTTCTTCTTCTTCTTCTTCTTCTTCTTCTTCTTCTTCTTCATCTTCTTCTTCTTCTTCTTCTTCTTCTTATTTTTTACTCAATAAATACTGTATAGATAAGCTTTGACTCTTAAAATAATGTAGCAATGAGAAAAAAATCTGCGTTTCTCATTTCACATTAAAAAAAATGTTTTATACTCTCCATACACAATAATCTACAATATCTACCCAGACAACAGACGTTCAACAGCCGCGAACATTGAAAAAACATTAAAAAATCAGGAGACAGACACATTTGTTTAAATGTAATTGATCGTTACAAAAAATAGATCAAACCACCCCCCAAAAATGGTTTGCTTTCTAGTGGAAACGCGAGTAAAGCGTTTAAACATCAAATCCGGTCCATCAGCCCCTTTCTGGTCTATGACTGCACAGTGAGGGGTGTGGCTAGAGGATGGGGTGGGGCAAGATGATGGGGGTGGTGCTAGAGGATGAGGATGGAACTAGTTAACATTCATCGCTGAATATATTAATATGTAGAGAACAGGAATCTAGATGGGCAGAGTTGATACCATGCCCATGGAACATTGCGCTCTGAACTCAGTACTGAACGTTGAAGGAATAAAACACTGTCTCGATGTCTCTCCTTTTTCAACGTCATCTTGTTCATTATTGCAATGAATTATTTATTTAAAGATGGTTACAAAAAGAGAACTGTCCTCTGTCCACTACTAAATCAGCTATTTACATCTGCTTAAAAAGCAAGCATGTTATACAGTCTCCTCTATGTACAGCAAATCTTTTTTCTTTAGCTTTGTCTTCACAGAATATACATATTTACTAAATCTTCACAGTTTATTTATCATATATTTATTATTAATATAATTATTGTAGTTTATTAATAATTACAGTTTTTATCTCCATGGTGACAATGGGAGACACTCCCCCACATGATGTCAGTTATTGATATTCAGTGAGATTGTTGTCTGACAGTTGTCTTTTGAACACTGCTCTCGTCTGGTAACAATTGTCCACTTTTGGAAAACAATCTTGATTGTGATTCAGTTTGCCAATTCAGTCAGCAACCCACGGATCCACAGTTACACGTTTCAAGTTGACCGTTTTCTGGTCTTTATTTTTCATTTTCACATCACTCTCAATTCCTCCTGCACTTTCTTCACAAGTGGGAGGTATGGTAAGTTGGCACAGGGTCTTGAGAGGGAACATCTCAGATGCAATCTCCACCTCTGCACCTGAAAATGGCAGCTTGATTAAAATTAGCCCTCACTTGGCCACACAGTGAAAATCCAGATTGTACTTTTCCACTGAACTCCTTCCAAAATGGCCACCGATTCACTACATCCTCAAATTGCAAAGTCCAATCTCTGCTACATTAAAAAACTTCCACAATGTTAGTTAGTCCCTGTCTGCCCACACACTGGTGGTGGTGTCCGGTTAGGGTGGTGTTTGTCCTGTGTCTTTGTGGTATATGGTGGTTGTGGGTTTGTCGTTTTTAAGGCACTTGGAAGGTTTTTGGTTTTCACGGGAGCTCAGAGGAGACCAAGGCCAGGCCGGAGCTCTGGCGGAGTGAGGGGCCCGAGTGGACCGCTTTGGGACAGTCGGGCGTCAGGACGCGCCCATTCTCCCCCACACTGCCTGTGATCGACAGGCGTGCCTTGTTCCTCATGGCCTCCGTGAAGGTCAGCTGGGAATTGGAATGGGGGGGGGGGGCAGAAAGAGAAAGGGGGAATAGAGACAGAGAGAGGGGGGGCGGGGGGTAGTGAGAAAGAGAAGAGATGAATATAAGAAAAAGAGAGGGGGGGACAGAGAGAGAGAGAGAGAGAGAGAGAGAAAGCGAGAGAGGGAGAGAGAGAGAGAGAGAGAGAGAGAGAGAGAGGAGAGAGAGAGAGAGAAAGAGAGAGAGAGAGAGAGAGAGAGGGAGTGAATAGTGAGAGAGAAAGAAACGGGAAGAGAGGGACAGAGAAAAACATGTCAGCTCATCTAGGTATACTCTGACAAAATTACACTAACAATTGTAAGATCAGGAAGCATCATGAAGATGGATAATGTTGGTGATGAATATAGTACAGTAACTACATCTAACGTCACACCATAGAATCACAGGGCATCCATCATGGCCATTCAATAATAATATCTTATAACACCACTTTATGTGCACATTTGATACAAGACTACCATTGACTACTATGGTTATTAGACATTGGATGATTTCTGTGTGGGCGAGGGACGACAGGGCAGCTGACCAAGCAACAGTAAAGGAAATGAAGAGAGAGCTGAGAGAGGTGGCCTATAGCACCGACAGGAGACACATAACCACGTCAGACACATACTGTGCTGGGACTGTAGATCTGCAAGTCTAATATCGCTGGACCCGAGGGAAATATCTTAGAGATAGGAGCTCAAGTCAATATAGCTCTTAGAGGGGCAGTTAGTTTCCACTTACTTTAGTCTTTAACGCCCCAATAATGTATGGTGTTATATTGCTTTATCTAACTTTATGTGTACTTGGGGCTGTTTTCTCATTAAAACCTGTGGTTCTCCTTTCTTATATCGTCTGCTTTAGATCAGTGGTGTCAGTTCAGCAAAGGGGGGTGGACAGCATCTGTCTAGTAGCCAGCTATATCATTTGTTTAATTTGTGGGCAGTAAATAAATGTGGGGCCACAGTTATGTGGCCTACAATCTGTATATGAAAATCATAACTGGTAATCAGATCTTTAAAAATGGTAGGATTAATTGTAAATTGGCACTCCACATGAAAAAGGTTGCCTGCTATAGGCTATGAAGCCACCCTTGACAGTATCATTGTCTCCTGCGCTTCCCACCAACATCAACAAGGTGGCTCTGACAATATTTAAACATTGTATCAACGAACAAGGTGGCTCTGACAATATTGAAACATTTTGTATCAACAAGGCAGCTCTGAAAATATTTAAACATTTATATCAACAAGTCGGCTTTGAGAATATTGAAACATTTTGTATCAACAAGGTGGCTCTGAGAATATTGAAACATTTTGTATCAACAAGGCAGCTCTGAGAATATTGACTGCACATCATTCCCCGGACCAGCTTGTCTCTGATATTATTGTGTTGCCCACGCAGTAGTTGCACTGTCTAGGTGATTATTGTATTTCAAAAACAGCCCTACATCCACACCATAGCTAAATAACTTAACAATATTTAATGACATTTTGCCAGAAAGATTGATCTGTAAGAATTTAATTGAGGAAGATGGACAAGCAAGACTGATAGAGTGAGAGGTGGAAATGCTTTATACCAGAGACAGGTAGGCTACAGGTAGGCTACAGGTAGGGATGCAGGTAGGCTACAGGTAGGGATGCAGGTACGCTACAGGTAGGGATGCAGGTAGGCTACAGGTAGGGATGCAGGTAGGCTACAGGTAGGGATGCAGGTAGGCTACAGGTAGGCTACAGGTAGGGATGCAGGTAGGCTACAGGTAGGGATGCAGGCAGAGGATGATGATGATGTAGGCCTACAGCAAGAAGTAAAAATAGTTATGTCAATTATAATTCTGTCACTGCATGACAATGTACATTTGTTATAGCCTACAATTGTTATTTTCTTTGAAGCCAAAAACAGGACATGTATTTTGGGGAAATGCTCTAAATAGAAAGTTGTTCAGTTGTGTTTATGTTCATACCAATACATGAAACCTAAATTGCACTAGCCTACTGGGCAAATGAACGTAAATATAAATTAGGCCGACAGCTATCACAGCCTATATTTTAATAACAATAAAATAGCTTTTGGTTTTGAATGGTCAACACAAAGGAAGGCTTCCCCACCTCCAAGTTCCCAATTCAATTAATCCCTGGCTATCAGATTAAAATAAGGTTTACAAGGCCGAGTTCAAATACCGACATCAAATTCAAAGCAATTCGGGCACTGCCTAAACGGCTGACTGGCAAAGCAAGCTGGCACTGTCTCTGCCCTCTGCTTACTAAAAGTAAGAGAAAAGGGCACAGGTTGGCAGCTGCTCTCCGAGCGATGCTCCCCATGGTCCTAAAGCCAGTCCTCCATTACGTTAAACAGCCATTGCATTTTAATCAGGATTGGAATGATTTTAGTCTGCCATACCTTGCCATACCCAACTGATGCCCCTGGTTTAGACAGGGCACCATGGCCATGTGCGATGCTAGCAGGTGCCTGTGTGTGTCATAGTTAGGGTTGTGAAATTCCAGAAACTTTCCCAAACAATCCAGGTTGGAGGATTCCCAGAATAAGAAGGAAATAAGCAGAGAGGGGATTTCGAGAAAACCTGAGAATTTCTGGGAAATCTGGGAAACTTTCCCCAAATTCCCAGAAATCCTTATTGGTGTATTCCCAGAGTGAATAAGTAGGGAGGGAATCCAACTAGGATTTCTGGAAAACATGGGAATAATATCTTCCCAGTTGGAAGATTCCCAGAATCAGTGGGGAATAAGCAGGGAGGAATTCCTGCAACCGGGATTTCTGTAAAACGTGGGAATTTTAGGAACGTTTCCAGAAATGTGCAACCCTAGTCACAGTCAACAGCATGGGACATTGTCTGCAGCCAAACAAGCCAAACAGACAATAGAAACGGCGGCCATCTTAAAGCCCCCGCCGGGAAGAAAAGAGACAGACGAGTACGTCACATGACCACAAACGAGCGAATCACAAGGCAGAGGAAGTAAAGGAAGCATTGCCACCGGTTGCACAGTTAATCAGCAGCACGGCAAGCTAGCTAGCGGCCAATAAGGGAGGTTCAACTTACAGTACCACAGGAGGGGGGCCTAGAGGGGTGGGTGGGGGATGGAGGAGGCTTTTCCTATACTGGCATTATATCATAACATCCCCATCGCTCCCATCATCGCTCCCATACCCGTCGAAAACCTCACTATACGTGGCTAAGTTGTGGGTGCTTGGGGAAGGGCTGGGGGTGTGGCCGGGACTATAGCCAGGACTGTGACTGGGGTGAGGGCTTGTTCTGGGGCTGGAGCAGCTGGGCCGGGGGCTGCTAGGGGTTAGGTGGTGGGGGAGGTGGTGGTGGTGGTTTGGGTGGTGGTGTTCAGACATCGGTGCCTCCACCTTCATTCGCTTGGCCTCGTTCCGGGACTTGTAGCAGAATTCAATGAGGGCCACCAGCATGGCCAGGCCCAGGCCCCCCACAAGGATATAGAAGACCCCCGCCACGTTGCTCAACGACAGGGCCTGGGACGACTTGTCCTGGGGGGTTGGAGGAGAGACACAGGGCAGACAGGATGTCAGCGGTGTGACAGTGGTGGGGGGCTGAGAACACATAAACGCAAACACAGACTCACATACATACTCATACATAAAATACCAGGCAATTATATTACACATTACAACACAAGTACACAAATACAAAGTTAACAAATCTAACACACACACACACACTTTGTTACACACACACACACAAACACAGATAACAGAGGGCTAGGGAGCTACCTGAGAGTTTAGACTGAGGAAAAAACTGCCTGTTGACAATTGTTGACAGCTAGAAGGTCTGAACTGGAAAGTGTGTTTGTGTGTGTGTGTGTGTGTCACACACACACACACAAAAACACACACAAACACACTTTCCAGTTCAGACCTTCTCTAGCTCTGAGCTCTGTGGCTAGCGCTTTAGCCGTTATCATCATGAAGTTACCATGCCAACCAATCTAAAGCGTGACTATGATGTTTTTACAGCAATTAAAGAGGAACACAATTATTCTAGTTTGCTAGCTGTCAACAATTGTCAACAGGCTGTTTTTTCCTCAGTCTAAACTCTCAAGTAGCTCCCTAGCCCTCTGTTATCTCTGCTTATTGTCATTTTGTAATTAGACGCTGTGCTTTAAGACACACGAGAGCAGCTCTCTCACATTTCTTATCTCCTCTTTGGGAGCAGGTTAGTTACCTGCTCCTAAAGTAGGAGGCTTTCTTTTCAAAAGGAATCTGTTCAGGTTAGAGACTTCACTAAACACTGCCTTGCCTTGTCATGCATCTGATCTACTGCTGATGGGAGTGTGTGAGTGAGCACATTCAAACAAAACTGGATAAATACTTTTTAATTATACTTGACAAGGAAATACTGTACACTTGACAAGGACTTGATTGAAAAGTTGTTTTGCTGCTAAGGCGTTTACATGCTGCTTTGCTGAGGCAGGAGTTCTCATTACATGCTTGAGTAGTGCCCAACTGATAAACTTGCTATATCCAATCTAGAGTGGGCTAGAATGACTGGCATACTAACATTGAAAAATAATAGGTTTCAAGCCTGTTCTACTCATTCTAATTATATGATACTAATAATCTGCCGGGACATCACAACTGCACAACTTGAATACATTCATTGCTAAGTGCCCTACTAAGTGTGGCACAGATACAGGTAACAACCATATGAATGTGATCCTGCAGGTCTCATCATTTCATACATTGCTGTGCTGTTTCTACCACTGAATTGTGAGCATGCCTTCTAGTTTGATGTGTTGTATCCCTCAGGCTACGCCTTCAGTCTCTCTGTCCTATGTTTGTGTGTGTGTGTCAGCCTGCCTGCCTGCTCTCCTGTCTCCCTATCTGCCTGCATGCCTACCAATCTCTCTGTCGGCCTGCCTGTCTTCCTATCTGTCTGTCTGTCTGTCTGTCTGTCTGTCTGTCTGTCTGCGATGGGTTCATCAGTGGGACATCAGAACAGTCAGTGAGGAGGTGTGGTCCCAGGACTTGCAGGAGACTGACCTTACTTCCTGAGGCCGTGGGTCCACACTCGCCCTTATCGTACCACCATTTGTTTTTCAGCTTGTCTAAGATGCCTGATTCACTCAGTTTCAACACGGCTAGGTTTACCGGAGTTCTTCGAAACCGCACGTGTGAGGTCGAGGGGTCGGGGAAGGGTCAGGGGGGAGGGGGAAATAACATAAATAACATCATAGGACATGTTATTTTATGTTATTCAGTCAGAAACCTAAAGAGCCCATACAGAGCACTTAACAGCTGGAAGTGACGGAGACAGGGGCCCCATTGGTTTACATGTCTCTATGCTCGTGGTAGAGGAGGGGGCGCCTGAGGGGCTGAGCGCTACAGACATATACATGGGGCCCCCACTGCATCGCTTTCTGGAACGGGCACATACTGCCGGGGCCTATCTCACAACAACCAATCGAAGGCCGTTACTGTGAAGCCTCAACTATTGGCTGGATGGGTGTCACCCCGGCAGATGCCCCCATTACCACGGCAACAGTTTTACCCAATCGGCATGGGGCTGACACACGGGTGGCTAACCTTCTCGCCACCTCCGCCGCTGCCACACTCTCCCTTGTCGTACCACCACTTGTTTTTCAATTTGTCCAACAGGCCTTGTTCATTCAGTTTTAACACTGCCAGGTTAACTGCGCTTCTTGAAAACGATAAAACATATTTGGGTGAGTGAAGGTGAGTCAATAGCATCCAATTAGGGATAGGAGGGGGAAGGGGGGGATTGTAAAGGGGGCACAAGGGTGGAAATAGGGGTGTGTTAATGTTCTATCTGTAACAATAAACCCTCCCTCACTCTCCCACCCTCAATCCATACACAGGGGACAAAGCCTAACTTCCACTTAAGTCAAACATTTTCAATTAGTCATGCATTGATGCCAATGGGAAACTAAGTTAAATTTAGACTTCAGTGGAAATTTGTACTTGCCCCACAGATTGGACCCTCATACACAGAACGGACAATCCTCTCGTTGGGACTTGGTTCACTTCAGAGTTTTATCCAAGGAAACTAAATTACAGTAAATTACACTTAAATCTACATTTTTCCCCTTGGTTTTATCCCTGTGGCCACTGACCAGAATGTATTTTGTATTTCTTTACACAACTTGATTGATGGTTAGACTCCATTACACATATTGTTCGTCCAAAATGGCACCCTGTTCTCTATATAGTGCATATATTGACCAGGGCCCATAGGGAAATGATTGTATAGTAACGTCATGTTATATATACTGTATATTTTGATTCAGGGGAGTAAAACTTGCATCAAGAGAGATTTGTCCACGTGCATTCAGTGCCTTTTAACTCTACAGTCGTGGTCAAAAGTTTTGAGAATTACACAAATATTAATTTTCACAAAGTCTGCTGCCTCAGTTTTTATGATGGCAATTTGCATATACTCCAGAATGTTATGAAGAGTGATCAGATGAATTGCAATTAATTGCAAAGTCCCTCTTTGCCATGAAAATGAACTTAATCCCCCAAAAACATTTCCACTGCATTTCAGTCCTGCCACAAAAGGACCAGCAGACAGTGATGCAGACAGTGATGTCAGTGATTCTCTCATTAACACAGGTGAGAGTGTTGATGAGGACAAGGCTGGAGATAACTCTGTCATGCTGATTGAGTTAGAATAACAGACTGGAAGCTTTAAAAGGAGGGTGGTGCTTGAAATCATTGTTCTTCCTCTGTTAACCATGGTTTCCTGCAAGGAAACACTTGCCGTCATCATTGCTTTGCACAAAAAGGGCTTCACAGGCAAGGATATTGCTGCTAGTAAGATTGCACCTAAATCAACCATTTATCGGATCATCAAGAACTTCAAGGAGAGAGGTTCAATTGTTGTGAAGAATGCTTCAGGGCGCCCAAGAAAGTCCAGCAAGCGCCAGGACCGTCTCCTAAAGTTGATTTAGCTGCGGGATCGGGGCACCACCAGTGTATAGCTTGCTCAGGAATGGCAGCAGGCAGGTGTGAGTGCATCTGCACGCACAGAGAGGCGAAGACTTTTGGAGGATGGCCTGGTGTCAAGAAGGGCAGCGAGGAAGCCACTTCTCTCCAGGAAAAACATCAGGGACAGACTGATATTCTGCAAAAGGTACAGGGATTGGACTGCTGAGGACTGGGGTAAAGTCATTTTCTCTGATGAATCCCCTTTCTGATTGTTTGGGGCATCCAGAAAAAAGCTTGTCTGGAGAAGACAAGGTGAGCGCTACCATCAGTCCTGTGTCATGCCAACAGTAAAGCATCCTGAGACCATTCATGTGTGGGGTTGCTTCTCAGCCAAGGGAGTGGGCTCACTCACAATTTTTCCTAAGCACACAGCCATGAATAAAGAATGGTACCAACACATCCTCCGAGAGCAACTTCTCCCAACCATCCAAGAACAGTTTGGTGACGAACAATGCCTTTTCCAGCATGATGGAGCACCTTGCCATAAGGCAAAAGTGATAACTAAGTGGCTCTGGGAACAAAACATCGAAATCTTGGGTCCATGGCCAGGAAACTCCCCAGACCTTAATCCCATTGAGAACTTGTGGTCAATCCTCAAGAGGCGGGTGGACAAACAAAACCCCACAAATTCTGACAAACTCCAAGCATTGATTATGCAAGAATGGGCTGCCATCAGTCAGGATGTGGCCCAGAAGTTAATTGACAGCATGCCAGGGCAGATTGCAGAGGTCTTGAAAAAGAAGGGTCAGCACTGCAAATATTGACACTTTGCATACCATAGTAACATCTGACAAAAATATCTAAAAACACTGAAGCAGCAAACTTTGTGAAGACCAATACTTGTGTCATTCTCAAAACTTTTGACCAAGACTGTACATTGCAGTAACATCAAGTACACACCATAAATGAGAGAGACAGAAATATAACTGATAGAAACATTAGTAAAATAAATCTTTCAGTAAAAGCTGATGAGAAGAGAAGTATAAAAATATAATTAAACTAACCCTTTTAAAGTCACTTTAGGGTTAATGCCGTGTGAAATTGCAGCCTTGTCTGACAATATAGCTGCTCTGCATGCTGATTGGTGGGTTTCCATGGTGACCAGGAGAAGTGACTGACAGAAGATGATGGGCGCGTTCCTTTGCCCAGGCATTGCTGACGCCTGCCAGATCTTACAATGCCTGGATAGGTATTTTACGTATCAGCTAACCACATCATATGTTATAGCAATTTGTCAGTAATGACACAGTCGATGAAATGGCACGCAACCATTGGTTGATGCATGCAACGTCTGAGCAGGGGAAAGCAACCGATAATAATACTGAAAAAAAATGGCCTCCATCGGGAACTACCATGATCTGTCAGTGACTCCTCTTGCTGAAAACAGTGGGTAAACCCTGCACCAGTTGTTGCTTGCATTGCAAACCCATGTTGTTGCCTTCTAGAGAAGCATTGTCAGTGGAATTTACAGATGGGGAAGGATTGGTGTTGGATTCAGATGAGTTCAGTGGAAATAGTGTGTGTGCGTGCGTGCTTGCGTCTGTGTGTCTAGCAATGCGCATTTCCAGCCCACCTCAGGATTCCCCACTTTCCAGCCATTATGTTCCTGTTTTTGTGGGTGTTAATTCACTTGTCACATAATTGTTGCTGGATCAATTTATTTAAAAAGAAAAGCAATGCACATTCCAACTCTTGCTTGTACAAAGCAAATTTCCCTTTGATTGTACAATTGCGCAAACGTCTGTTATGACCACTCAAACACATGCCAGTCAAAAAGTATTGAGTATCCCACTCCATTATGCAACTGTTACATTTATCAGAACTGTGTTTTTGACCTTTTATCAACCTTTGTCTGTAAAGCACTTTGTGGCAACTGCTGATGTAAAAAGGGCTTTATAAAATAAACTTGATTGATTGATTGATTGAGAGAGACAGAATGCTCTGTAGGCCCTATCAAGGGTCAGGTGGTCAACAACATAGATCTATAGTTTACATTCTGCACTGAAGTTCTCCTCTCTACAGTTTACATGTGATCATGGCTATTTGTTTCATTTTCCATTTATTAAAGGATATATGGTAAACCGGAAGCAGTATTCAGTAATTGATAGTCTGAGCATTATAGTATCGACTGAGATAACTTGCTAAGGGGTGTTTGTTTGCTTTTATCATTTGCAGTGTATTTTCCCTCCCAAAAATATTTTATCAGTCCTTTGGCAATGGATTAATGAAATTGTGCCTAGTACACGTAGGAACACACACACACACACACACTCGTTTTGGCGAAGTGAAACTGTAACTCCCAGCAGTGACTGGGAATTCTTTATTTTTAGGCAAGTCTGTAAATTCCACTGTGTGTATAAAGCAGCTCCAGTCTAGCCAAGTCAGACAGGACTGAGCATTGACATGGCTCGCATTCACATCACTTATATCCCACCATCTCATATGACATTAACTATGTCTACATCCCAAATAGCACTCTATTCCCTATTTAGTACAGTTAGGGTTGCAACATTCCGTTAACCTTCCCAAAATTCCCATGTGTTCCCTAAATCCCAGTTCGGAATATTCCCGGATTCAGGAGGGAATAAGCAGGAAATCCAGGAATTTGGGGAAAGTTGCCAGAATTGTGCAACATTGGTCATAGTAATATATTAGAGTCATATTTTGACTTATCTAGGGCATTTATGCATAGTTTCAACATGCTGTTTCAACTCCCACTGGCACACCAACATAAAGCAGCACAAACATCACCTGACAACGAAGAAGTAGAGCTGCAACAAAAACAACTGTTGCCATGACCGCATGCAGACCAAACACAAATGTAAAAGCCACTACCTTCACCTTCACAATCACTATGCATGAAAAAAGCATTCAAACCAAACGCAAACAAAATTAAAAATAAAATAAGTGTTACATGAGCGTTACATGAGCGTTATATGAGCGTTATTTTACATGATCAGGCAGCACGCCAGGGAAGGTGGAATAACATAACAACACGCACAGCTTGGACATATTGTTATACTACTCCACCCACCTTAACAGTGAACCTTTGGGGGTGGCCACTCCATATCCTTTGGAGTCCAGGTTGCCGCCGACCTTCATGGTGTCGCAGGGTTTCCGCTGTTCTGTGTACTCGTTCATGGTTGACTCCAACAGGAAAGCGTACTTCCCTTTGCTCTTCCGCACACGTACAACCCCCTCCTGTGTGTTCTTGGTAAACACAGTCGGTTCGGCTGACTTCATGTAGCCCCACATCTTCTCGTAGACCGCGATCTTTGACCTCTGTGGTTGTTTTGCGTCAGATCGGGGGAGGGGTGGAGGAAGAGTAGAGGTGGAGGAGGGTGGAGAGAGAGCATAGAGAGAGCATAGCAAAATAGAGAGGAGGACATGGGGGTTAGTTAGTGTACTGTAGAGAGTTACTGGTGGAGTAAGTATTGTCTGAAAACTGTTACAGTAAAAGCACACACTCCTCCCCCAGTGAATGAGTATGCTTGGGTGAACTGATCAGTATTGTGTACTACACATGGTGTTGTGTGTGTGTGTGTGTGTGTGTGTGTGAGCTGATCCATTCAGTACTACTCACCTTTTAACTTTATATTCCTACATACACAAAAAGCCTACGAAATACAGATGTAGGATCTTAATTTGATCACCCTGTTCCAGGAGAACTGGACATGTAAAACTTGTACTGTATTTGAGGTTTTTAAAAGGCTTCTGAAGTTTTTAATTTACAGACTTGATTTTCCCTTACACTTTAATTTTAAATTTGTATGTCCATGAATTATAATCCACATAATAATTCACATTTCCTGTTGCTGTAGGTAACTAGCTCAAATTAAAAGATCCTACATCTCTAGGACAAGGCCATAATATGATAAAACAGACACAGCTGGTGTCCAGTCCAGTACTATACTCACCCTGAAGAACTCTTTAGTGGAGCCGGAGTCTAGGGTACCGTAGGCGATGTCTGTCTGTTTAGCCAGGTCCTCAGCACTCTCTATGGGCGACACCATCCTCTCTACTGTGAGGAAGGCAGCCAGGTTGGCCGTATAGGAGGAGATGATAATGAGGGTGAAGAACCACCACACGCCCCCCACAATACGCCCCGACAGAGACCTGGGGGAGAGAGAGAGGAAGAGGAGGAAGGAGAGGGGAGGGGAGGAGGGTGAGGAGGGGAGGAGAGGAAGGAGAGGAATAAGGGAAGTGTGGAGGTGAGAATGAGAAGGAGGAGAGGAGGAGTAAGAAAAGAGTGAGTGTGGTGAGAAAAAGAGAAGAGTGAGGAGAGTAGGGGGTGTGATAGAGAGCAGAGTCCATCAATAACACTAATTATAATTAAAACAAACCAAATCCACAAACTGTATTAAGAAGTGAAAGTGAATTACAGACAAACTTATCGGTGACCTGTGTGGTCTAGCGGTTAGAGTTGCTGACCCACATTTTGTTACGTTACAGCCTTATTCTAAAATTGACTACTCACAATACCCCATAATAACAAAGCATAAATAGTTTTTTTTTAATTTTTGCAAATTTATAAAAATAAAAAACAGAAATACCTTATTTACATAAGTATTCAGACCCTTTGCTATGACACTCAAAATTGAGCTCAGGTGCATCCTGTTTCCATTGATCATCCTTGAGATGTTTCTACAACTTGATTGTAGTCCACCTGTGGTAAATTCAATTGATTGGACATGATTTGGAAAGGCACAAACCTGTCTGTGTAAGGTCTGCAAAAACCAAGCTCTCTGGAGAGACCTGAAAATAGCTGTGCAGCGACACTCCCCATTCAACCTGACAAAGCTTGAGAGGATCTGCAGAGAGGAATGGGAGATACTCTCCAAATACAGGTGTGCCAAGCTTGTAGCGTAATACCCAAAAAGACTTGAGGCTGTAATCGCTGCCAAAGGTGCTTCAACAAAGTACTGAGTAAAGGGTCTGAGTACTTATGTAAATGTCATATTTCTGTTTTTTATTTTTATATATTTGCAAACAAATCTAAAAACCTATTTTTGCTTTGTCAATCAATTTTAGAATAAGGCTGTAATGTAACAAAATGTGAAAAAGTCAAGGGGTCTGAATACTTTCCGAATGCACTGAATGGGTTCCCGAGTGGCGCAGCGGTCTAAGGCACTGCATCTCAGTGCTTGAGGCGTCACTACAGAGCCCCTGGTTCCATTCCAGGCTGTATCACAACCGGCCGTGATTGGGAGTCCCATAGGGTGCCCAATTGGCCCAGCGTCGTCCGGGTTTGGCCGGTGTAGGCCGTCATTGTAAATAAGAATTTGTTCTTAACTGACTTGCCTAGTTAAATAAAGGTAAAATAAAATAATAATAATAATAAAGACAGAGTTGGAATGGGTTCAAATCCGGTCCACTGACCTTACATTTACATTTACGTCATTTAGCAGACGCTCTTATCCAGAGCGACTTACAGTTAGTGAATACATATATATATATTTTTTCATACTGGCCCCCCGTGGGAATCAAACCCACAACCCTGGCGTTGCAAACGCCATGCTCTATCAACTGAGCTACATCCCTGCCGGCCATTCCCTCCCCTACCCTGGACGATGCTGGGCCAATTGTGCGCCGCCCATGAGTCTCCCAGTCGCTGCCGGCTGCGACAGAGCCTGGATTCAAACCAGGATCTCTAGTGGCACAGCTAGCACTGTGATGCAGTGCCTTAGACCACTGCGCCACTCAGACCTTCTGACTCGCAATCTCTCCTACTTTTCCTTTCTCCCCTTCACTGTCCTTTCTCAACAAATAAATCCCCCCCCCACAAAAATAAATAAATAATAATAATAATAATAATAACAATAATTTATCCAATGTGCCAATAGGTAACTTGGGAACAGGCTGCTATTCTGCCGACCTACCACAGGGGGGAGCTCTGAGAGCACACTGACTGCACACTCACAACACCATCCAACCCATATTCAGATCCACCTTAAGGCAAAGTGGCTTTCTTTCTTTCTTTCAATGTTTATTGGTGAGATGAAAAGAGCTGGCAGTGCTTTGGAGAGCGACTGACGACGTCACACAGCGCTCCCTCCGTTCAGCTCTGTTTTTGTCTTGTTTGTTGGTGGGAGACATAACTTGCCGACTCTCAAGCGAGTGGGGAGAAGGTCATGAGGAGAGTCAAACAAAATGGTGCATTGGAGTTAAAAAACAATGTTCTCTCTCCGCCCTCGGTACAAACCAAACATAGAGAGAGAGAAGCTCTATGAAAAACCTTCAGTTCCTGTTGTTTAAAAAACACTCATAGCCTTTTCACACTATTTCACACGTCGATGCCGATGATTCTTCACATACCCCGATCAAATTTTTTTCCCAAATTTCAGGCCCTTTTTTTGGGGAACCCTTTTAAAAAAAAAAATTTTTTTCCCCCAAAAAAAACCCCCCCGGGGGAAAAAAAAAAAAAAAGGGGGGAATTTTTTACCCCCCCCCTCCCCAACCCCCCCCCCCCCCCCCAAAAAAAAACCCCCCCCAACCCCCCCTGGGGGGGGGGCCCCCAAAAAATTTGGGGGCCCCCCCCAAAAACCCCCGGGCCCCTTTCCCCCCCCTTCTCCCCAAAAAAAAAAAAAAAAAAAAAAAAAAGAAAAGAAAAAAAAAAAAAGAAATTAAAAAAAAAAAAGGGAAAAAAAACCAAATTTTTAAAAAGGGGGGAAAAAATTTTTTAAAAAAAAGGGGGGCCCCCAAAAACCCCCCCCAAAAAATTTTTCCCCAAAACCCCAAAAAAACCCCCCAAAAAAAAAATTTTTTTTTTTTTAAAAAATTTTTTTTTTTGAAAAACCGGGCCCGGGGGGTTTTTTCCCCCCTTTTTTTTTCCCCTTTTTTGGGGGGTTTTTTTTGGGGGAAAAAAAATTTTTTGGGGGGGGGGGGGAAAAAAAATGGGAGGGGAAAAAAAGGGGGGGGGGAAAAAAAAAAATTTTTTTTAAAAATTTGGGGCCCCCCCCAAAAAAAAAAAAAAAAAATTTTTTTTTTTAAAAAAATTGGGGGTTTTAAAAAGGGGGAAAAAGGGGGCCGCCCCCCCAAAAATTTTTTTTTTTTGGGACCCCCTTTTTAGCCCCCCCCCCTTTTCCCCCCCCCCCCCCCTTTTTTTTAATTTTAAAGGGGGGCCCCCAAAAAAAATTTTTTTTTTTTCCCCCCCCCCCCCGGAAAAGAAAAAAAAAAAAGGGGGGTTTTTTTTAAAAAAAGGGGGGGGGGGGGGAAAAAAAAAAGGGGGGAAACCAAAAAACCCAAAAAAAAAAAAATCCCCCCCAAAAAAAACCCCCCAAAAACCCCCCCCCCCCCAAAAACCCCCCCCCCCCCCGGGGGGGGGGCCCCCCCCCCAAAGGGGGGGGGGCCCCCCCCCCAAACCCCCCAAAAAAAACCCAAAAAAAAAAAAAAAAAAAAAACCCCCAAAACCCCAAAAAAAAAACCCCCCCTTTTTTCCCCCCCCCCTTTTTTGGGGGCCTTTTTCCCCCAAAACCCCCCCTTTTTAAAAAACCAAAAAGGGGGGGGGGGGAAAAAAATTTTTAAAAAAAAAAAAAGGGGGGGGGGGAAAAAAGGGGAAAAAAGGAGGAAAAGGGGGGGGGGGGGGGGGGAAAAAAAAGGGAAAGGGAAAAAAGGGAAAAAGGGGGGGAAAAAAGGGGAAAAAAAAGGGGGGGGGAAAAAAAAAAAGGATTTTTTTTTTTGGGTTTTTCAAAAACCCCCTTTTTAAAAAGAAAAAAGGGGGTTTTTTTTTTTTTAATTTTTTTTAAAAAAAATTTTTTTTTTTTAAAAAGGGAAAAATTTTTTTTTGGGTTTTAAAACCCAAAATTTTTTTTTTTCCCCTTCCAAATTTAAAAAAGGGGGTTTTTTCCCCTTTCTCTCTTTTCCCTTTTTTCTAAATTTTTTTTTCCCTTTTTTCCCCCCTTTTATTTTTTTTCCCCCCTTTTTTTCCCTTTTTTTGGGGGTTCCCTTTTAAAGGGAAAAACCCCCCTGGGGGAAATTGGGGAAAGGGGGGGGGGGGGGGGGTTTTTTTTTTTTTTTCCCCTTTTTTTTTCCCCCCCCCCTTTTTTTTTTTTCCCCCTTTTTTCCCCTTTTTGGGGCCCCCCCCCGGGGTTGGTTCCGGGGGGGGTTTTTTGGGGGGGGTTTTGGGGGGGGGGTTTTTTTTTTTTTTAAAGGTTTTTTAAAAAAAAACCCCTTTTTTTTTTTTTTTCCCCCCCCCATTGGTTTTTTAAAACAGGGGGGGGGAAAAAAAGGGGGGGGGGAAAAAAAAAAAGGGGGGGGCCTTTAGGGGGGAAAAAAAAAAAATTTTTTTTTTTCCCCCCTTTTTTTCCCCCCCCCAAAAAAAACCCCCAAACAAAAAAAAAACCCCCCCCTTTTTTCCCCCCAAACCCCCCAAAAAAAAAAAAAAACCCCCCCCCCCCCCCCCCCCCCAAAGGGGGGGGGTTTTGGGGCCCCCGGAAAAGGTTTTGGGGGGAAGGGACCCGTTTTGGGGAAAAAGGGGGAAAAAAACCCCTTTGGGCCCCGGGGGGGGGGGGGTTTTTTTCCCCCCCCGGGGGGCCCCCCCTGGGAAAAAAAAAAGGGGGGGGGGGGGGGGGGGTTTTTGTTTCCCCTTTTTAAAAAAAAAAATTTAAAGGTTTGGGGGGTTTTTTTTTGGGGGGGGGGGGGTTTTTTTTAAAAAATTTTTAAAAAAAAAAGGGGGGGAAAAAAGGGGGGAAAAAAGGGGGGGGCTTTGGGGGGGGGAAAAATTTAAAAAAAGGGGGCCCCCAAAAGGAAAACCCCAAAAAAAAAAAAAAAACCCCCCAAAAAATTTTCCAAAAAAAAAGGGGAAAAAAAACCCCCCCCCCCCCCCCCCCCCCCCCCCCCCAACCCCCACCCCCAAAAACCCCCCCAAAAAAAAAAAAACCCCCCCCGGGCCCCCCCCTTTCTAAAAAACCCCCCCGGGGTTTTTTTGGGGGGGCCCCCCCCCCCCCCCTTTTTTTTTCCCCCCCCAAAAAACCCCCCCTTTTCCCCCCCCCCCCCCCCAAAATTTTTCCCCCCCTTTTTGGGGGGGGGGGTTTTTTTTCCCCCGGGGGGGCCCCCCCCCCCCCTTTTTTTTTTTTTTTGGGGTTTTTTTTTAAACCCCCCTTTTTTTTAAAAAAGG